CTTAATCATCTTTTTACCCCATTCCCACTGGCACCGTCCCATAGCCCCCCACCCTACTGGAATTCATTCATTCTGTCATTTGTGATAGGCCTATCATGTGAAGTTAGTGTGCCCAGATGTCCCTCAGTGAAAGCTCATCTACTGGGGTCTAGGTAGCTTATCTAGAGTCCTTCACTTTAAGAACATCAGCTCTTCCTCATCCAGCACTAATCAGCTGTCAATAATCCTTTGACTAAGGTTGGGGCCTGCTGTCTGTTTCCACAGTCCTGTGCTGGGGTTTTGTCTGCTTGAGTTTCCAACTGTATCTAATTTATAAATGGAACCTTATCACAAGTACATGTGATCAGAGAAAAACATAGTGTACAGTCCATGGTCTCAAGCATCCATTAAAAATAGGGAAAGACTCTGATGTTTCCATTTCTCATAGAGAAATAGTTTAGAGTTGGGTCATATGTTGTTAAACTTTGTAAGATGTTCACTTCCTTGCTTCCAGAGTCCTGTACATCCTATATTAAATGATATATTCTGAAAAAGAGAGAAAAAAATGGAGAGCTCACTCATATGTTTGATTATAATATATTTTGTGATTTTTCTGTTTTATTATTAGGCATTATTGGTCTCCTATATACGTTACTTTTTTTCTGGATACATGCCTCTTTGGAAAACTACTTTGTAAACTTCTCTAACAGATTGTGGATTACCTTTTATTTCCTTCCCCATATTTTCAAAGAGCAAAGCTTTTCACAGCCTTTCCTGGAGTTTCCTAATTGGAATGTACTACTTCCTATTGTAGCCCTGGCTGAGGAGACTCAGCAGAGCTGGGGATGCAATATGGGACACTCAGCAAGCACTTTACTCACTGTTCTACCCATATCCAAATGTGAAATTCTTTTAAAATGTCCCTACATGCATCCCAGGCCTCATGGTACAGCAGACTGCACATTCTTCTCCACTGAGAGGCCTGAGTGAAATAAAAACAGTAAATGAAAAGGACCAGTAGGTAATGTCAAAGTGGTTTGCTCACTCTTAGTGATACAAAAGGTCTCATTTCAAATTATCGTGGTCACATTTAACAGAGTAGTTAGAAACACAAGCCATAAAACACATTGTTGTCATTACATTGGTTTCATAGAAAACATTTCTTTTGTTTATTGGGGACAGATTTATAGACCAGGAAGTTAATGATACTTGATCTTCAGAGATTTAATTTCTATTAATTCCTTCTAAAATCTCACAAAGGGACCTGTGTTGTGATTGTATAATTATTATAAATGTGTAGACTTTACTTTCACTTATTGTATGTTCATATTTTAAATAAGATTTTCTCTCAGATGATGTAGTTTGAGGTCTACAAAGATCAGAGAAGCATTGGCTAACATTATCTGGTTTGGAAGCATATTTGTAAAGACAGCTTTCTAAATTGTGAAAGAAACGTATGTGTGTATGTGTGTGTGTGTATGTGTGTGTGTGTGTGTGTGTGTGTGTTCTCTGCATAAATGTGTAAGGGGACATGTGTTAATGTGCATATAAAGATACCTGTGTCTAGGAAGATATATGAGTAAAGTGGGTGCATATGTTTATACAGGTTGAATGCTGGAGTATATGTACATGTGTGCATGTGTGCATGTGTGTGTGTGTGCATGTATTGCATGCATGAGTGTGTATGTGAGCATGGATCAAGGGATCGAAAAAGAAAGTTGAGCTGCTAAAAATCTCTGGAAGCATTCCATAACTTTTCTTCTATTTTGTTTGGTTGGTTTTAAAAAAAAATATTCATTAAAACAGGGCTTATACTGAGTTCAATATTGTATAACTGTATTAATTCAACAGCGAACCTAAAAATTTTATAGCCATTTTTGAAAGAGATATATCTTTATTCTGGAAACTGTTATTGAGTATGTTAAAGCTATAATGAAATGCTTCTTCTAAAACATAAAAAAATTCCTTAAAAAGATGACCAAACAAAACAAAAACGTAAGTGGTTTTAGAGCTCAGACATCTAGGGACAGATTTAACACTGAGATGTGAAACAAAAAAGCTTAATTTCCAAGACTGGTAGAGAAAAAGTCACGTGCATGGTCCTGGTTCAGATGTTAGGACAAGGAATGGGAGGCCCCCAAGTACTTGGTGAGAAGTGATCAAGATTTTTAAGTGCAAAAGTTAAAAGATGTGGGAGACACCATATTATACCAGTAAAGATAGCTAGACTGGAGAGAAATATGTAATATTAAAAATAGTAAAATGTGGGATAGGAAGATGGCTCCATTCATAAAATGCTTGCCCTACAAGCACAAGGACCCTGGGTTCAATTCCAAGAACTTGTGAAAAAAATCAGGGGTGGTAGAGAGTAAATGTGTGTGAAATGCCCAGTCCTAAGTGACACATCTACAATGAGGCTTAGGGAACATAGTGGAACAGGGAACCTATTAGTGCATCTCTCAACTCTCACCAGTGTATCTTCCTCATGCGACAGTTGGTGATTAACACAAAAAGTCACAGCTAGCTAAAATGCAGAGAATAGGAAATTGCAGCGAGCGTGTCCCTAGATAGGATTCCTATGTTAAACCTGTGCCACCCAAGGCTCAGGGACCATTGCAGAAGAAGGGACAGAAAGACTGTAAGAGCCAGGCATGACGGATGACCACAAGAAAACAAAGTTTTCCAGGTTGCAGGGAATTTGCTCATACAAACTTACTGCAATGGTGACAAGACCCATGCAAACTCAAAACAGACAAAAACCCAGCATAGAAGTGGGAAAACGGGTAAGGAACCCCAACCCTATTGACAACTGATTACTACTGGGTTGGGGAGAGTTGGTCTTCTTTAAGGGAGTGATGGGCAGATAGACTGACCGAGCTCCAGTGGATAAATACATAACAAGGGATACCTGGGAAAACAAACTTGACTATATGACAGAATGTGTGAAATTCAGTGGGGGAGCTACAAGGTGGGTACAGTTAGGGGAAGGGATCTACATATATTTATGATGTATGAAAAGCACAAAAATTCAATAAAAATAAATATCATAAAAAAAATCAGGGGTGGTGGCCAGCACTTCAAATCTTGGTGCTGGGAAGGTAGAGACAAAGAAATCTTTGGGGCTCTTTGGTCAGTCAATTTAACCTATTTGGTAAGTCCCAGGTCAATGAGAGTCCCTATTTTAAAAAGAAGAAAGAAAGAAGAAAGAAAGAATGAAGGAAGGAAGGAGAGAGAGGAAAGAAAGAAAGAAAGAAAGAAAGAAAGAAAGAAAGAAAGAAAGAAAGAAAGAAAGGAAAGAAAGAAAAGGAAGGAAAGAAAGAAAGAAAGTGAACAGTGACACCCAAGGTTGTTCTGTGGACTTCATACACACACACACACACACACACACACACACACACACACACACACTAAATGTTGTCTGAATAGTTCAGGCCAAAACCCTCTTGGTGCTGCCCTCCTCTGAACATCTTTATGAGACTTCTCTGTCCTTACCCTGAGTCTCATCTTGCAGATGGTCTGATTCCACTCAGATTTCCAACATGTTCTTTACTTTCTAGTTTTTCCATTCAACTTGAAAATTATATTTCTTTACAGTCCCAAAGATCATGTCTTCATTTTCAGAGACTGAAGCTCCAATGTCTCATGAAGACTCCCTAGAATCTTGGCAGGTCACTTAGTGCCTTGGCAGATTTGCCTGTGAATAGAAGACAATCCTGGGTCAGTTTTAAAGTCTCCTTCAAATGCCATGTACCATTAGAATAATTCTGTTACTCTTGACATTTACAATCAAAGGTGAAAGATTTCCCAGTATATTTTTTGTGTCATCTAATTGTATACTTCATTGAGTTTGTGTGTGCGTGGTATGTGTGTGTGTGTGTGTGTGTATGTGTGTGTGTGATATGTGTGTGATGACCCGTGTGTCTAACTTGACCATACCCTTTCTGGCGCCTGAGGACAGTATCATTGACTAAAGGTTCCAACACTACTATACTGAGACCTGTATCTGCTCTGCATCTGTTCCCGGAGTCACATTTCCCTTGGGCTACTACTGGTCAACAACATCATGAAAGGCTTTCTAGTGTGGGTCCCTTATAGAGAAGTACGACTGACTTCTCTGTGAGTAACTTATGAGTAGATGAATCCCCTACAACCTCCCCAGCTGTCCTAGAGAGGATGTCTTTTCAGATGCTTCCTCCTAACCTCTTTACTCCTCTCCCTCCCCTGGAGTCAGATCTGACTTGAATGAGCTCTCTTTTTCTGTTCTAATTTCTTATTCATCTTTGTTCACAGGCAGCATCACACCTAAGAAGACTTTTGTTTGGCTTGCCTTCTTTTAGCATCTGTTTTTTGAATGTTACAATCTAAACAAGTACATTGCTGTATTTTTAATAATTATGACCTATGAAAGAATGTGGTGGTGCCGTGTGTGTGTGTGTGTGTGTGTGTGTGTGTGTGTGTGTGTACTCATCCATGCATGTGTGTTGATGTCAGAGGACAGCAGTGGGTGCTCACCACCTTATTTTTGGATATAGTCTGTCACTGAACCTGTTTCAACTACACTGCTTGGCCACCAAGTTCCTCTCTCCAGCTCCCAAGTGCTGGGACAGCAGGTACATGCCACTATGCCCTGCTTTAAATGGGTCCTGAAAACCAGAACTCGGGTCTTCATGGTTGCAAAGCAAGTGCTCTACCCACAGCGTTACTTCCCCAGTCCTGTTTTTTAATATTGATAAATTTGTATATATTTCTAATATATGGTATATGTCCAGTGTAGTCTATTTACCACTTACTATCTGCACACAAGGATTGTTCCTCTTTGCTTTTTTCTAAAACCCTGAACTCTGACATTTTAGGGATGGATGAACAATTCCGTAGTTTTAAGCTTCACTGCCCTGGAATTTATGCTACCTAGTTCTTAGCTCCTCCTGAGATTTGAATTATATAATGGTAGAAATTGCAACTGGGTTCCCTCTCTATGATGCCTTAAGTCTTTAAACTATTCATCTTTTCCTCTGTCACAGACAGCTTCAGTGGGATTGTTGAAAGATGCATGGAAAAGTGGGAAGGTCCTGACCAGGTAGGAGGCAGCTCCCCAACCCTCATCCATCCATGTTCTCTATGCACACAGCTTCCGTTTTCCACCTACGAACCACTCATGATACACTGATTTTTGTTTGTATTTATTGTTTACTTTTATTTATGTGCCTGTGTGTATGTATGCACACATACATGCATAAAGGTGCCCATGGAAGTTAGAAAAGGAAGTCAGATCCCTGGAGCTGGAATCATAATCAGTTGCTAGGCATCAGATGCAGTAAGTGCTCTTAACCACTGAGCCAGCCCTCCAGTCCCTGCACTGGTTTTTAAAGATGATCTCAAGATTTCCAACCCAGGGGGCTCATTGACCCTGGCTACTTTTCTGCCTGGCACTCTAAGGTTACAGGCTAGAGGTTTGATGGACATCCTATTTAAGGCCCCATCAATGATGGCAGCCAGCTCCTCGCCTAGCCTCAAACTTTCAAAATCAGTGAATAGTGAATTTGCGACTGGGTCTCTGGGAGAAATTGTAGCCTTGAGTCAGTTTTTTACTTCATTCTTTGGCCAGAGCTTCATAGAGCTTAAATGATTCATCATGAGGGAGTAAATCAATGACAAGCCTATGCTTCTAGGGGCTTTCCTAAGGACATTCTGCATTTGGCCTGAAATTTGTCTCTCTAGTACAAATTGTAGGTCTTTATTTTGAATTAGTTACACAGCTCAGGAAAACCAAGAAGACTGGCTTCATGGCCTTGGAAAAGAGAAGATCATTTACCACCGTCTTTCTCAGCTTAAAGGTGGCACCCTGGCTAGAGATTTATTTAAACAATGCTAAGATTCTGAGGAGGAGGAGATGGAGAAGGACAGTGCTTAGAATAATCTCTAAAAAATCATTTTAAAGGATTTCCTCTTGAGAAAAATAGTAGTTCTGTCTGGCACTTTTAACATAGTATGTTATGCAAGCATAACTTGAAGGTTTATGGTAGTTCTTTCCCTAAGAAAATCCACACTAAGAACTATCTTAGAGAAATGTGACAGTCTGAAGAGAGCCCCCTGCCCCGAAACTGCATTTACTTGACTCTTAATAATTGTAACAAATTATTTGAGCTCCTGTTTCTTGATTCTTATCCTCAAATTGCTTTTTGGATATAGTTGTATCTCTTTTCTCCTAAAATGGTTCATTATAAGAAACTGTGCTTTACGGTGAGCTAAAACACACAACAGAAGACAGAAGCACCCGCTATGCTAGAATTGGGGCTTGATGTCTTGATGGAGAGGCCACTCAGGTAGGGAACGAAGGTGAGGGGAAGATAAAATGTGGTTGTCTAGGTTCCTTTTCTTTTGCAAAGTGCTATAAATCCATCTTACATCCTGGCAGGGAAACCATCATGACATCATGTCAAGGGAGCCCCTTCTTGGCCTGTTTTTCTCCTGCCTGTCCCTGCTACTCAGTACCCACACTCAAGGTTAGCTATCTTCCCCTCTGAAGGTATCTATGTCACATAAAAGTACACAAGTAAGTATATATGCTGCACTTTTAATCATCCATCTTTGCCACTTACCTTTCAGATCCAACCAGAAACCGTAAGAGGGTCAAAGAAACACTTTTCCTCACCATCACCACCTTTTTCCAATAGATCGGAAATTAGTAACAGCAAGCCTTCATGGTGAGTCAGGGCTGGTGCGGAATGGCTTCTGCATCTTCCACAGCCGTCTGTGCCTTGTGGCGCCTAGAGGTTTTTGTCATTTCCTCTTGCCACAGGCATCCTGGCCTCCAGGGCACATGGCCCATTACCCCACTTCAATGGCTTCCCCATCTCTTCCCAATCACTGGAGAGCAGGCAGGGGTGAAATGAAGCCATCTGGAGAAACAAGCATCTCCCAGTGTGTCTTCCCCTGGAGGCAGCTGTCTCCGGATATGCAGGAGTGAACCTTTTCGATAGCTCACATGTGTACCTCCATCATTGGAATCTGCAGTATGCCTCTGTGGTCTTCCTTCCTTACCACCAACAAGAAGATGTTCCTGATGGCAAGAAAGGAGAGTCAGACCCTAGAAACTTATGCAGAGAAAACGGGTATTAAATGGATCACTGGTTCTATGTTGGGATTGCTGACTCAGATGCCGGGCAGGCTTACACAGTTGTTCAGAAGAACTAGCTAAAACTACGGAAAGGTATATGTTGGCTAGCAACATGATGGCACAGTGGTCCAAGTAGAGAAAAGATGGGTAGATGTGTTTCTGGGAAGGTGGTCCAGGGTATTAATGAGGCAAGAGTGAGCTTGGGGATGCCAAAGCCCTGGCCATCACTCACTGGGTGGGGAGGAAGAGCTGCTGGTAGGATAGGGGTCCTGCTACTGGGCCTAGATGAAGGCTCATACCCAGATGTCTAGAGAATAAACAAAAGGAAGTAGGAAAATTGAGAGAAAAGGTGGAAAGAGAAGAATGGTTTGCTTGGCCTGAGGGTGCTGCCCTCCAACATGCAGTGGGAGCTAAAACCCCTTGCCTACTGTACTTTCTGCTGGGAAGGACAGCCTTTCTCTTGGGGAGCATTTGTGTGGGCTAAAGTCAGCTCATCCAATATACTTAAGCACTCTGAGCTTCGATTTTCTTGTTTGTGCAGCAAGAACAACAGTGCTATTGTATTTATGTCACAAGATACATGACCAGTTTGCGCAAAGCAAGGCTCACAAGTCTGTAGCCTGATCAGGGCTGCTCTGTGCCGGCATACTCCACAGCCATCTTCCCTCCAGCTTCTTCCTGAACTTGGAGATTTCAGTGACATGCTTTAGGGGATTCCAGGAGACTTTCTAACTTCCTCTCACTCCGTAGTATTTAACTAGATTATGCTAATTGTGGGAACGCCTTTCTCTTTGTCACTGCTGAGGATGAGCATAACACCCAACCTTATCCAGTTAGAACGTTATATGCTCTGGGAGTTTCTTTAAATTCTTAGAAGTGGGTGAAACTTGAAGTCCTTTCTTCAGCCCTTGGAAGTTTTGCTGCAAGGATATGATGCTTGAAGCTGCGATAAATGTGAGGCAAGAAAGTCTTGAGTTCTGAAGGTGAGGATCCTGATATAGAAGTCACATGCTGAGAACAGAAGGATGGGCTGCTCTGGAGCCTAGATGGATCATGGACAGTCTAAGAGGGACTCTGATTAAAGAATTTCACTGCTTTGAATGTTAAATGCAATGTGGGAAAAGTATTCTAAGACTCCAACCCTCACATACACTGAACACATCCATTGCATTCAGGCTCTTCTGGAAGGTGAGAGTCTTCAAGGATCCAGACATCCCAGGTTCAGGCTGGTATTCCCCCTGCTGGGGTTTTGTCTGCTTGAGTTTGCATGAGACTTGTATATGCTGACACCACTGGTGTACATTCCTATGAGCAGGGTCCCAGGAGCTCATAGGACTTTATTTCCATATGATCATGTACCTCCTCCCTGGCTCTTAATAATCATTCCACCCTCTCTTCCACAATGCTCCCTGAGCCCTGGGTGGGTAGAGTTTAATATAAGAGTCCTGTCCAAAGACCATCATTCTGTAGACTACGCTTTGTCCATCTGTGATCTTTGTGTTTCTGGCCCTCTGTTGCATGAGGGAGCTTCATTTATAAGAACTAGGAGATTCATTAGTGACCCCTGTTTTGTGTTCCATGAGCCTTAGGTATAGAGGTTGCACTGTAGATGTCACTTAGGCCTGGGCAATTCATAGACAATGGTACTTGGTAATAGTCTCTGTCTGGTGCAAAAGAAGCTTCTTTGATGAGTGGTGCCTGGGATAGTTGTCTATAAATGTAAGTATACATATTTTGTACATAGTAAGAAATTACAATAATCTAAGAGTGTGACAGTCTTGGGGTTTTCTCTAAGATCTATGACCTTTCCAGCCATATATATTTGTTTATGTTTACAGTACCATATGAGATCTCTCCCATTGAATAGGTTTTTAGTCCAATTAAGTAGCTGCTGATTTCCCCCAAGATAAAAATGATACTACTACACCAATGTTGTATGCTGTGCTGTTCATTAATGTGGTTATTTGGTCTTGAAGCTGGTGGACCATCAACTGATGTTTTTCCTTGGCACCTTCATAGTGCTCGCCAAAGCTATGAGAGCCCTTTCAGGGAAAGTGGCTTCCAGATAAGTTCCAGGTCCACTGCTCCAAATCCTGTGTCCAAAGTGTTTTCTGTTTTCAGCAGCAGGGTCTTACCTTCAAGTTCTGGGAGGCCATCAAGGACTGTGATAATTGTGTAATTTGGGGCATCTTTTGGACCACCCTGGCCAACAACTCAAAGGAAGTTCTCTCCTGTGTAACACCATTACTTTTTATGTAGACTTTAGCTGTAAGCATGGACTCATGTAGAGATACTGTATATGAAATTTATCATTAGGTTGTTGGACTAATATGATTCCCTCTGTTTTTTTTTTTAAAACTAGCTAGGTATTATTTATCTAACCTCTCTTTCTGTCTAACCTTTCCACCATGTCTTCCCCATTTAATGTGTCCACATTTTCCCCATTTCTCCCTTGATAATACCAGTCTGCTATGGTCCTACCTCTCTTGAGCTCCTTCTTTCCCTTTATCCCCAAAGTTCCTCCCTCCCACTCCTTTTTATTTATTTATTTTTGAAAATCCTAACTAGTTTATTGGGCTTGATAACAGAGCATAGGGTGAGGGTTTGTTTACAGAAGACTGGGGCACCCCCCATTTATGGCTGCACTGGAAAGTCCATACTCAAATATAGATCCTGTGACTTCCCGACAGCTGCGCAAAATGGCAAGAGAGGTGCCTCATGGCATTCTCGGCTTGTATATCCTTAGCTCCTCCCCCACATGCAGCTAAGGTTGACTGATTGGGTGGGAGGGGTAACTGACTCTCCCCTCGACTCCTTCCCTGATGAGCATGAGAAGGTGTGACTATAACTTGCCGGCATAGTGATTAGAAGACACTTCCAGGTAACACTCCACCCCTTCCTCTAGCTCTTACATTCTTTCTACCAACCTCATCTGCAACCTCTTCCTCAACCCCCTTCCC